ATTTTGTTCTTCAAGGATTTTTGAAGGACACACTACTGGAGTTTGGATCTGCACAGTTTACAACTCTGCAAACCAAGGCAAGAGATGGGCTTAGTATACGTCCTAAAAATGTTTAAAAGATGCTGACCGAGCAGAGGGCCTGGTCCTGCAGTCAGGTCTGTGTGAGTTCTGGTTGCAGCTGCACTTGGACTAGTGCACATGGTGAACTTGCCTGCCTGGAGCATGCTTATGTGGGGTTAAGCTTTTTAATACTTCTGCTTCAACAACTTTTTAAAAAACAAATGTATTTGGTTTAATGGATATGCAAAAATCTGCCCAGTGCGAGTTCCTTCAGAGGAGACCAGCTCAGACAGATTGGGTGAGATAATAGTTATGATCTAGTTTCTTCTCTGCTGTGAATCCCTAGTAACAACCTTCTGTGTTCTTCCACTTAAAAATCCAGATAGTGTATAGACTGGCTAATCTTACCCTTGGTGCTGAGGAGCACAGCTCTGCGGTACATCATGGGGCTCATCTGCATTTGCCACACAACGCAGAGTGGAAGGCCACCTTGTGAAAGGAGATTCAGTACCTTTATTACTGCCATAATCTTCTTCCCCATATTCCTCCTTTGGTAATACAAAATTGTCACTTTCTTTGCAGATGAGCTGGTTTTCACCAGGGGTTCGGGTAAGAGGGAGGTTGGGCAAAGGTGTTAAAATTCAGTCTTTGATATTACTTTCTAATATAAAGATTCAGTTTGAAGTACCAGGTGACTAATATCCCTTATAGCCGAACACAGTCAATGCTTATTTACAAGTAATTTTAACTGCTTCTCTGCTAATATGTTTCCCAGTTTTTAAAAAAGCCTAAAAATTGTGATTTAAATCCTTCATGTTTTGATTTCTTATGTAGGTTGACAATTTAATCTCTCAAGGTAGAAGTTAAAGTAGTTGATGCTTCTCACAAAAGGCCTCCTTCAGTCACACCTGTTTTGCTTTCTTGGAAGTTGTCATATGGTCCTCACTGATTGCAGAGGAAAAACTGCAATTATACACAGGTGCATTTGGTTACATCACTTCTTCCCCCCCCCCCCCCCCGATCTTGATTCAGTAGTGTATTTAACTATAAATATTATTAAATATAGTACATGCTAAAGCTTAAATAAAATGGTATGTAGAAATAAGGCACAACTGGCATTTGTGGGAAGTAGTGGTATGCAGCTTTTGAAAATGAGACAACCCATTGTTATATTTTTCAATAATTTGGCTTCCCATAGTGTTTTAGAGGATTTAGTTTTTATTTCTCATTGTTACATTTATTTCCTCTGTGTGGATGTTTGTTTGTTTTAGCTGGTGTTGTTCTTAAAAATATAGCTTAAGCTCCTTTTTTGTTGTTTTTAATTACCAGTCATAAGAAAATAGGCAACATCAAAGCCTTCTGTTCACTATCCACTTAAAACTGTGAATGTGTAAATGTACAACAGGCTTATGCTAATTTTATATTCTTCTTTAAAGCATAAAAGCTCAATGATTTTCTTTCAAAGGTCTTTTTTAAAACAAAGACATTTTCTGTTCTGACCTTCTAATGATTTTTGCATTGAATATACAGCTGGGAAGTAGCTTAGCACATGGCAAATGAAACTGTAAAAGGGAAGGATCTTCTATTGTTATATATCTGCAAAGCAGTGAAAACATAGGTACACATACCACAAAAATATGCTGCCATAGCTACTACTACTACCTTTGCATTAAGCTAAAGTAGTGCTAGCAGCTGTGTCTTCTTATATGCTTAGGGAGGCTAACTTTTTTTTTGAGAAAATTAGATTGGGAGTCAGTGAACAGCAGGAAGGAAGGAAGTAGGGCAGATCCCAGTCCACCTGTGCACACAATGTCTACATCCACTTCTAGCAAACTTTTCAACCCTCACCTGTTCAGATGAACAGTTGCTGTATTTTGCATAGTGTAGTGACCGTCTGACCCTGGACAGCCATGCTTGCAGCAGGAGAAGGTTTGGTTTTGAGGCTGTATCATTGCCTTTGACTTAAAGATCAGGAAAACAGGTTCAGGATGCATGACTGTGTGTAGTCATAGCAGTTAGCGCTCCTGTCTCTCCCCAGTCCTCTCTTATATATGAGAGAACAGTTACTCAGGTACAGTAAAAACTGCAGCTGCATGTATGCCACTGATAACACTTCCTTTTTGTTGGAAAGGAAGGAAAAACTCCCTGCATAGGGCTTTATGGTAAAAAAAGCTAATTTAGATACTCGGAATAGTGAATGCCTTGTAACTTCTAAGGACGATCACTTGATGTTTTAAACCTTTGTGCTAATAGAAAGCTTGATGAGATAATGACTTGCTACAATAACTTTCTGGAGTCAAAATCCTGTCTTTAATTACAGCTTGGCTCATGTGCAAATGACTTTACTGCCTTCTAGACTCTGACAAGCATTTGTTGGTGTTACCAGTCAGCTATCAGGTTTGGCACAACTGACTGTGTTTGATCAAGAGGCATTTGAGCAATACCAGAAACACCTAGAGAAGAGGATTAAGAGACATGAGGAAGACCATGTGGGAAGTCCCCACTCTGCTTTATTGCAATGGTTTTGTTTCCTTTTCATCTCTTGTTTCTAAATGGGGCAGGGGTGGGAAGGGAGAAATCTGCCACTCTTGCTTTGGCTGGCTTTGATTAGCACTTCTCTGGTGGAAGTCAAATGAGTAGACAGACAGCAGCAATCTTGACACAGCTTCACTGAGGTGAAAATTTTGGGGCTAAATTAACTTCCTGTTCTGTACAAGAGAAGTGGATACATTTTGTTTCAGAAGAGAGGAGCTGGGAAAAAGGGAAAAAACCTCCCCATAATTTCACTTTGCCCAAATCTCTTGGGAGGGTAATACTGAGAATGAAATGGGGGTAATGGGGAAAGGTCACTTCAGTGCCAGATCATATTTCACTGAAGCAATTGCATTACATTCCTCAAGGAATTGGTAACACTTTCTGGATGTTCCCCTGGTTTGCAGTATTGGAGCTTTGAAGGAATCAGGTTTGAGGCATGGGTAGAAAAGAAAGCAGAAGGGTAACTTGTGATATAACCAGACTTGTGCTTTTTACCTCAGATGTCATGAGTGTGTTTGAAAACTGGAGGGAAACCCCATAGCCCTCAAGCCTCCCAGTAATCTTTAGTCTGTGCCTTGCTCCCCCACCCCCAAGTGAAGAAAATATATATCTGACAATCCAGAGCAACAGGGCACAGGGTTAGCAGTGATGCTGTGAGCTATTCATTTCTGTAGCCATGCCCTCATTTTGGAGCTGGTGCCCCCATCCATAAGAGGGGAGGACTGTTATGCCCGCAAGATTTGTCTTTTCAGACTTCCTAGGTCCACTTCAGTCTGTGTTCCTCTCTAGTGCTAATGGTAAATTGGATAAGATCTGGTTGGTCTCTTTCCCCTCACTGAGGTGTACGGATTGGTTTTGCCTTGTAAGGTCCACCTAGCTATGAAGAGAAAAGGGCAGGTGCTAGGCTTCTAGCAAATTTAAGGTTCCTGGTTTTGTTTTTTAAAAAGAGAAACCCCTCACACAATGGGTTTCCACTGTGCTCCACAGTATGAGTGAGACTGTGATGAACTCAAGAGCAGGATGCACAGAGATTTGAGTGGATAGATTCTCGCTCACATATTGGCCCTAAACTCAAAATATTCTGGTATGCTAAGCTACATTGCAGTCCTAGTTCATGCAGGTTTTATATGAATATTTCTGGGTTATTGTTTAATCTCCATATGTATTAAAAATAAAATTCTATTGTTTCCTTTCCCTTTCTCTCTTCCCAAGCAAATATAATTAGGAATATAGGCCTAATCCTGCTATTTGAAGTCAGGGAGAGCGGAATTTGGGACTTGATAGTGTAAGCACAGCTGATGAATCTGCATGTTAATGCAGTTTTGTTCTGTGGTATTTTTTTTCCAGTCTGCTTTATATTACTTAATGATGATAGATGTCTCTTTAATTCAGGGGCTTTTCCATTTTGATGTTAAAAGGAAGTTCTCTGCTGATATTTTTGCTTTTATGAAGAAGCTGTATTTTACAGATGTTGCCATTGTAAATTCCAGCTGGTACCTATGAATATTTATTTTTCTACCCATACGCATAATTGGTCTTCTATGTGCAGTAAATATGCATCTACATGTAAAGATGTTAATTTTTTACATTGTTCAAGATGCACTGTGCAAGTTAAGTAGCTTCCAAGCTCAGTGAAAATGACTGTAGATGAAACAGCTTGCAGGCATTTATACAGTTTCCCTTGCAGGGTTCCCAGTAACACTCAGTTCCTTTGTTTAATTGTTTTAAAATTAATTTTGTTGGTGAAAACAATTATATAAAGGCCACTTGCTATAGAGAAAACAGTAATAAAACACTGTTTATAGAATTTTTACATCAGGAATTGGGGTAGGTTAAAGTAGAATTATGAAAGATGCTTATTTAAACAATGCTGTTCAGTCACCACTGGGAATTTGTTATTTGGACTCCATTTGTAAAGTAACAAACTACAAAGTTCAGGTGCTTATCAAATGGTATTAATAGCCATTTTAGTAATGGTCATTTTACAGCACTCCTACTGTTCCCCTCAGACTTCCTGTCCAGCCTAAAGTTTAGAACCATTGTGGTCTCTGTGTAAGTAGAGACAAAATTAATTTGACTGCATTGTGTCTACTCACTATGGAAGGACATCTTACTAATCTTTAGACATGAGTACTTTTATATCAGACTCCATACTTTCATTATCTAAGGATGCTGTTAATTATACTACATCTTGAAAGGCATGAACATAAGTGCTGAGTGTGGGATTGTAAAGAACCTCAGTGAAAACTAATTGTGATTTTTCTATGGGTTTGGTTGAAGTTCCTATTTAAAAGAGTGTGTATGCAACTGCAAAGCTATCACTCTGCTAATATCAGCCGGTCACAAGGGATTCATGTTTTAGAGATGGAAACAGGATTGCTAAAGATTGATATATTTCATTGCAGATGTGATGAATATGTCACACAGCTGGATGAAATGCAGCGGCAGCTTGCAGCAGCTGAGGATGAGAAGAAGACTCTGAACTCCTTGCTTCGGATGGCTATCCAGCAGAAACTGGCACTGACCCAGCGCCTGGAACATTTGGAGCTAGACCATGAGCAGTCCAAAAGGGTGCGCACAAAATCTGCTTCCAAAGCCAAGAGCAGTAACCCTACTGTAAGTCATATTCGGTTCTGTGGAGACAGGTCTGAAGGGTCTGTCCTTAACAACCAGGTTTTTTGTAGTGAGAAGTATAAAATCTATTGTGACTAGGACAGGTGTGTAGAAAAATCATATTATGCATCTTATTTTATGCTGTGACTGTCAGCGTAAATCCCCACTATCTAATGTCGCAGTGAGTTGACTTGTACTAGTATGTTGTTGATCCAGGTAATACAAATTGTATTATGGTGGTCTTAACTGTAACTAATTCATAAGTATGGGGATAGGAAGTAAGTATGGGAAAGGAATTAGCTTTCTCCACAATTAACATGTATGGGATTTGCTGTTTATGGTAAGTGTTAAAAGAGTACACCTGATACAGTACTATATCTGGCACTACTAATTGTAGTTTGTATAGCACAAATGTGATCCTTTCACCAGGGTTGCAACATACTTCAATAAATGCTTTCACAGGCAGAAACAAACAGAAAACCTTCCTTGTTACTGTGGCTTAAGAAGTGGTGAAAAGCAAATGTTAAAATGAGAGGTATGTCTTGAAAATGCAGAGCATTTTGAAACTGGAACCAAAATTAATTTGTCTATTAAGATATTAATATAATATCTTTTATTAGATATTAAGATATTAAGATAAAGATATTAAGAACTTGCTGTCATATCACCACTGACCAAAGTCCTAAAGCTTTTTATAGGCTATAAAAGCTAGAATAAAACTTGGTAGGCTACATTATTTACACTCTGCTTCCCTCTCTTCAGAGGGTTAACCAGAAACAACTTGCACATTTATATTAAAAATATGCAATGTTTACCCCATCTGATATCAAACTTAAAATTTTAAGAATTGGGATTCTACCTGGTAGACAGTTCCACTTAAAGAAGTTATGCTGTGGAAAAAAGTCATATGCTGAAAGGATCTTTGTGGTCTCATGTTGCTCCTTGCAAGCATAATACTTTGGAAAGAACCTGTTTTATATATTACTGTAGCCACACAACATATTTGTGTAGAATTAATGTGACTGTAGTCTAGCATTGTCAGTCACAAAACAGTTTTTCTGAGCTTTCAATATGAATCTGAACAGGTTAGTATTTCAGAGCTCTGATCATTTTTTTTAAATACACAAAAGATATTACATTCCTTATGCAAACATATGTTTCACAGGGCTCTACATTATAGGCACATGAAACTGAACCACATCATCCTGCTAATAATTATTTATGAAGTAGCTTAGTATACATATTAAACTTTAAAAACAAACCATTGTCTGCTATTGAACTTCTAAGGGGCCTTTTTAGCCACTTAATTACAATATGTTTGATAATATAAAAGTGTACTTCATAATTGGTGCCTACGTAAGAGAAAAAGATTAAAAATGTTGCTTCTAAAATTGTGGAAAATTTGTGGAGCACAAGGCACACTTTTTTTCTTTAAACCAGAGTCTTAAAGTGCCTAGCCTCAAACTTTATTTTAATGTAAAGCCCTGTTCATTTTGTACTCTTTCAAATAATTTTGTATGCCTATAGTATTACTAAAAGCAATGTGAGACTGCACAGTTGTCTGCTTGATAGTGATGTTTTATAAAGCCATTCTAATATTCCTGGTGTGGTACTGCCTCATTTCACTACCATATCTTATAGATGATCAGCAGCTTGCTTCCTGTGCATTGCCGCTCTGCCTATAAGTAGTCAGGAGATATCACAGTACTAATATAAGGTAATAAGGAGCACAGCCTGTTTTCCCAGTGAGGGGAAACCACATGGGACTTTGGCTTCCCAGATATTAGAGTAGGGGGGAGGAAAAAGACTTCTAGACTCATACAATGTGACTTTAAACAAATGGAATTGTAGAAACCCTGCTACAAAGCTGGGAAACAACAGAATGTCACAGTTCAATGCCAGAATCACATTTACCAAAACCGAGAGGAGGAAAAAAACCCCAAATTATTTAAGTCTAATATGTTGCTGGAACATCACTGCTTGAGAAGTTTAAACAAATAGGAATTCTGACTTTAGAAACTAGGCCCTGTGCATCTATTATTGCTTTTTTTAGAAAACGCTGAATTCTCCTGAATTTGAGCTTTAATATTGCTAAATAGCAGGTTTGATATTTTAGACGCGAGACATCTTTTAAGTTTTCAATCCTGCTTTTCTCTTTTTTGCTGCACAATCTTCCAAAAGGCCTTTATTCTTCTCATTCTTGCATTAAGTGTAATTTAAAAATACTTTGTAAAAGCAGGCATTTGAGTTGCTAACTTCCTTTGCTCCAATAGAAACAGTTACAATTTTCCTTCCACTGTGGTAGGGAGCTTTAATACAGTTTTCACTGTTTCCATGTCTCTAATGGCAGTATTTTTGCAAAATACTAATGGCAAAAAGGCAAATTGGAGAAACAAATTGAATGCATTGTTACGTTTTTTCAAATTAACTGGAACTTTCTATAAAGATTTCAATGTTACCAGACAGTGACTATTACTATCAGTCTTGGCTCTCACTTTCAGTTCCCAAGTATGAACAATTTTGCTATTAGCCCAATAGTCTTAGTAGTCATTTCCATCTTCATTCATTTCTGTGGATCTTTAAAAAAAACCAAAAAGGCCAAGAAACCTGACTGCTGTTTGAGCTTGTCAAGGTTATGGTTTAACTTCTTTTAGCACCTGTTACATAAGAAATGAGGAATGGTGGTAAGGTGACTTGATCCTGCTGTTTGTAATTTTAGCTAATATTTCCAATTGAGACTTGTAATTCTTGATTAACAATTTCTTGAAACGTATATTTGCGGTAAGTCTTTCATATCACTTTCAATGGGCTGGGATAAAGCATGGAAAATTTCTTAAGACATCACCTACCTCTGCAAGCAGGCTCTTTTTCTGAATGATATTCTCTGCATTGGCCTGCATGATATACTGACCTGCATGTTTCTGGAGAACCTAAAGCTTCACTGAAAATGTTTCTTGCACACTTGTTGCTGTTAACTTGTGCTTGAACAGCAAAGCTTGATTCAGTACTTGTAAGAAACCTTCTTTCTGCAAAGCTATTGCTTCCAGGCTAAACCCATAAAGCATTGTTTCATCAGCTTGGAAAGCACATGAGAGCTAAACCAGCTGCTTCTACCCCAGGAAGCTAACAGACACCCTCAGCCAACTAACCTGCTTTTGAAGCACATTGTTTTAAGTTTTCAGCTCTTTAATTGAGAAATAAACACTGATTTTTCTTTTTTTTCCTAATGCTATTTTATTTTTCCATTTTTCAGCTGTAGAGTAGTCCCTGGAGAAGGCCTTTCCAACAGTGCAACAGCATTTCTTAACTTCTTTCATTATGGTTAAAAGTGGTAGCCCATTGCACAAAGAATGGAAACCACTGACCTGATCCTAACTCTTGAAAACACCTTTTTCCTATATAATACCTGAAACGTTCCTTTTATGTATGAAGCTATAAAACAAACAAGCTTTACCTATAAGTGCTGCTGCAGTAAGAAACCTTACAAGTGCTGAAGAAACCTACTTCAAAAGTAATGATCACCATGTTAGTTTATGATCTACTAGAAATGTTCGGATTGGGGAATTTATTATTTCATTGCAGATGCTAATTTTTTATCTGATTGTTAAACCTGTGCACTTTTGATATTTTGATATTTTTCTTTAGCTTCTGTAATTCCTTATGTAGAAGAGTTTATATAAATGCAGTGGTTTGTGCTCATAGTCTCTCCAACTTGGGTTTGTGATTTTCGAATTCTACATCAGCATGTGGCAGAGATTTGGGGGGAGCTCTAGATTGTGATTAGAAAAGGGTTTCAACAAAAAACAGGAGCTCTGCTAAACTGTGTGCTGTGCTTCAGCAGCTTTTTTATTATAAAATGTTAAGCTTTATATGTTTAAATTACAGATTTTTTTTTTTGACTGCCATGTTCATTAAGAAATCCAGGGTATTCAAATTCTGGGGTTTTTTTTCATATTGTATTATTATTCTTAGGAATAGTTCAATGTAACAAGAAGAAAACTTGACTTTGCTCTGGTTAAAACAGTAATAGGCACTTGAAAAATATTAAAAAAATAGTATTACCTATAGATTCCAGAATTCCTGGGTTTTAGGAAGTTGAAGTATTATTGATTAACAGAATTTTATACAAATATACCAGTTAAATTCCAAATTGGAATTGTTTTGTTACTTTTTCATTTTATTGTGCCAAATTATGGTACATTTAGAAAGAAAAATTCTAAAGTTGTCAATGATAGGGTGTTACATATCAGCGCCTTTCAGTCATTAATTATTGCCAGTAGTGCCTTTAATCATTTTAAGGGAGACTCTTAGAATAGCTTAGTCTAGGTCCTGTAACTTAGGAGAGATGGAATGGCTGTTTTGGAATTTAGTAAAGACATGGAGCAATAAGTGCAAAGTGAACTCCCCTTTCGCACATTTTTAATGGGTAGTCTTACTATAGAGATTATATATTCAAAGAATTGTAAAAAATTCTGTTAGTCAATGATATTTCATCATGCAAATATTTGCAAATTCAGGGGTATAGAGGGGAAAAAAAAAAACCCATCAAACCTAAACAAACCCAAATACATTTTGGGAACCAAATGGACTCATGTTGAACAAATGAGTAAGATGTATTAACACATTTGTGGTAACAGGACAGAGAACGTATCAGGAATATTGATGTTATGTTAGCTTTGTATGGTGGTGAATGCAGTTAACCATAGTATTGTTTGCAAATGTGAACAACAAAACATTGATATCTTCTCTTGCATGTTGTATCTAATCATTGTAATTTCAGGAAACAGAAACAGAGAAGCACATCAACAAGCTGTACCTATCTGTCTACTGTTTGTTGAGGCTCACATGAATGATTAAATTGGTACTTGTTGGGGGTGAGCATTCCCACTCCTCAAAAAAAGTACAAATTGAAATAATATTGACAGTGGGAAAAAGATTTCTGTTTGCTGGAAAAAAGCGTTATTATTCCTAGATGTGGGGACTTATATTTCCATCTTCTGTTACAGTATTGATTCATAAGAAGTATTGTTGCATTTAAAATTACTACATTTGTATGTGGGTATTTATTTGAAATGATGTCAAAGTACTGTATTAAGTTTTATGTGCATTACCTTTTAGTGGTGGATTGGTCTCCATTTAATGTCTATGCATGTATTCTTGCTAAGTAACCTTTACACAGATCTGGAAAAAAAAAACAGTTAAAGAGAAAATGTGCAAACTTCTTAAAAGTATAACTGTGTTTTAATTGGATAACCTTAGGACGTATAGAGAGCAAAACATTACTTCCAAATTAATAAAAAAGTGTTTAATGTAGGAAAGCAATCTGCCTGCATAAAGGTAGTCACAATGGCAGTATCAATAAAAGAGAAAAGGAATTGCGTTTTCTCCTTCTTGTTTTTGTGTTTTAAGAAGGCGCCATTTTAATTAGTAATCTTCAGCTATTTTCAGTGTGGAGCTAAATAAATATTAATTTTTATTTGAGACAAACTGAAAACTTAAAATTGTTTGCTGCAGAATTAGAAAATTTATTTTGTTTGGGGAGCACCATCCTCTGTTTCATTTTCCTGGATTACTTTTAGCCTTGATCAGACCAGTTCAATCTGTTTCACCAAATAGCCATGCAAGCACTTGTACCAGTACAGGAAAGGGGAGGGTAGGACTAATGGTTTTGGTGGCAGTGGTGACAAGTCTTCCTGAACTTAGATCTTAATTTCTCACATACTCTGGAATGTGTTAAGGTAATGTTTATCTGGTAGAATTAACAAACTAACTCACCAAAAAACCCCTGAAGGAGTATGCTTTAAGTCTGAGAGTGAGGCTAAGGTTTGCCCTGTCAATACAAGGATATTCCTGGATCGATGAATTGATATTGGCCCCTAGAAATATTAAGTATGGTTTTATACTATAGTTTAGCAACTCTTATGTCCACAGGTAGGATTCCTAGAACTAGTCTGCTTATCGTTTATATACCTGGTAGCAGTCAGTTGCATTACACCAGCTAATCAACATAATTTATATTATCACTGGAGAGCAATATGGCAATTTTTACTTATGCATTGAAAATACTTGTTGAATTGTGTGCAGTAAACTAGCAGAGCATATTTGCTAGGACACTCACCCTGATTGTATAGTTTTGCATTTGCTGTAATGGGAGATTTATCTGCAGTGTGATCTAAAGGAGAAACATTTTATAAAAATGTATATGCATGCAAATGACAGAAGAACAAGAACAGACCTGTTGAAACAGTAAAACAGTGTGATTCAAAAATGCTTTAGTAAGAAAATAAGAAAACAAGAGGAGAGTATTTAGCTTAGAAGCTTGTCTAGTGAATGGCTATTAATTAAAACATCAATTTCTTTGACTCCTTCCCATGTAGAAAAAGATAAAATGCCTGGAGGGCATGTTGGTTTTTAAAGGCTAATGATGTAGATTGACCTACAGGGCCAGGAAAAGGTATTTTTCCACCCAGGGACTTAGCAAAAACAATGAAAAAACTATAAAGATCACTTCTGTTAGCTCAAAAACAAGCAAAGCAGCTAGTTAATATGATTATTTTCAGTATATGATTATTTTGAGTATTATATTGAGTGTTTATATATAAAAGCTTCAAGCAAACATTCATTAATGGTTGCTGGGAAAAACACTCATGTACAAACTACTCAAAAGATGACTTCATCCTATTCCATTCTTTTCTTCCAAGTGAGTTGCTATCCATCCCCAGTAAAGGAGGGGGGTTGCTGCTTCTCAGTGCAAAGGCAAATTTCCACAAGAAGGAGCTATCATAGCTGCAGAGTAAACTTTTTTTCCCTTGTATACTGAGCATGGTATCTCCAAGGTAATCTGAGACCTGATCTTGTACATTGAATCTGCATCAGCCAGCCTTACCTTACCCAACCCTGTGACTTTGGGACATACTGCTCTTAACTAAAGTCTTAACTAAGATTTGATAATTACCAAGTGAAGTGGTTGTAAAATGTCTTAGATCCAGACAGTAACTGTGTTTAAAAAAAAAAAAAAAAGCCAACAAATGAAGCTGGATCTGGTTCTAGATGTTGAAGTAAACTGTTTCTGAAGTACAGATAATATACCAAGAGGGAGCAATGTAATGAAAGCTGATTTTTGTGATTATGCTGGAGAAAACCTCAGAGAAAGTTTAAAATTTACTTAAAACCTAATATATACTGATATTTAACTAGGACAATATGTGTAATGTACTAGTTGCTGATTAAGGCTACATACATAAGCAAAGCTTGAGTTAGCTACATATAGATGAAGTGAATTAAGCTAGGCTGAAGTGAGTTATAAGTATGCACACCCAGATTTCCACCAGCTTAGCAAGTAAGAGTCAAAGTTGGTTAACTAAGCTGAAAATGACTTTATGGGCAGAACCTGCAAATACTATGGCTTTTTACTGAATCAAGTGTCAGGTTAGAAGGACACTCTGTGAAGGCTGAAAATGTACCTCCCCAATACTCTTTATGTTGCAAGAACTTTGAACAACTTTATATTTGTAAAATATCTCTGTGATTTGAGTTTTAAAAATGCCAGGAGGCGGACATTTGAGTCGTGAATGTCCTATGCTAACATACTGTAATGTGCTTAACAGGCAGGAGAAACTTAAACTGATGATTTACTATATAGTTTTAAAGTGATTGTATGTATTAAAAGAGCAGATTTTTTAAAATAAATTCTTACTAGTGCTTGCATAATCCATTATTCTCAATAATAGTATTTTTTATCTTTTTTGAAACTGATTATTTCTGCTTTTCAAACAGAACTTTTTGAATTACAAAATTTTGAAGAATTACAGATCTCCATATTTGTTCAAGGAGAGAAGGAAAAACAACTGTTCATTTTAGTATATGCTGCTTTATATTGCTTGACATTAAAAAGACAGTTTCTCCTTTACCTTCTCCTTGAAACCTTGCTCCCTATTTTCTACACAGAAATTTTAGGTTAAAACAGTCTCCCAGTATTCAGGTGCATGCTAACTCAGAGCTAAGGAAAACACTCAATTTGGCAATTTCATAATCACAATTTTTCCTTAATTTCTGGTGATGAGACTGTTCCTAACTAGGACAGTTTGTATCATTATTCCAAACTATATTGAGTAGACATTCAGGCAGCTTCTACTAATCTCAAATGTTATTTAGTGTATTTTCCTGTATGGCTTCTACCCTGGAATTCAAATTAATGCAGCTCAAGGCTTTATCAAGGGATAAAGAGTAAAGTATTTGATCTAGCAGCAGAACATTAGCTTCTTGTTACTGCCAAATGAACAATGAGCCTTCATGAAGCCAATTATCAGTCTTAGATACTGAGAATTAATATCTCTCCATTTAGAAGACCAGCTTCTCTGTCAGGGAGAAGACTGTCGAGCCTATGCTATTGACAGCTTGGGGAGGAGATTTTTAAAGTGTGATCTTAACTTGGATCTAAAGAATAGCCTAAACTTGTGCCTTATTAGGATGGGGAAAGCTTAATTATTTTTAGCTGGTAGTCACATGGTTATTTAGTAACAGCTCTCAAAAATAAGATTTGGTTTGCAAAAGCAAGTTCCTTGTGGTTTTGTCTTTCTCCATAGAATTCCTAGCTATCAGCTATTGCCAGTATACACGTGCTTTTCATGCTTAGGGTGGCAAGGATTTTTTTGGGTTAGTGCAAATACTTGAGTCAAACAGCAGAAAGCTCAAGCATGACCAGAACAGCCAATGCCCAGGAACCTGCTGGCAGTAAGTCACCTGCATGGTTTTAGCTGCAACTACTGCTAGTTAGTTTAGCACTGGTAGTTTACTCACCACTACAGCCTGACATGCCAGAGGTTTGCTGTGCTTCAGATCTGTTAGCAAAAAGCTGGTGTTTACTTTTTCCTGACTCCATGTGCTTTAATCTG